AGTGGGAAGCTCTTCTCTGTTGTAAGGAGGTACAAGGGTCTGAAAGGCTTAGGTTATGTCCAAAAAACAAGGGAACAACCTCTGGAGCTCTTTGTAGCTCCAAGTGTGGTCTGAAGACTGGCCTTATCAGAGTCCCAGGGAGCCTGTTAGAAGAGCAAAATCTCAGGATCCACTCCAGGCCGGCTGAGTCGGAATCTGTGTTATATCAAGATCCCCAGGTGATTCACATGCATGTTAATATTTGAGAAACACTGCAGACTATCTCCAAATACCCACAAGAGGCTGACAGCACTGTGGTTTTGGTGGATCAAAGGAACGTGGATGCCTGGGGCTGGGCCTCCTTAAGGGAACAACACAGCAGACCCTGTCCTCGCTAATTCTGCTGGTTCCTCATTCCTCCCAGAACCTACCCAACCACCTCCCTTTCACTCCTCCTTCCTTGTCTTTCATCACAGCCCTCTCCCTAATCTCAGGCTTTCAATCAACAAAAGCCTGAAAGACCAGTTATCTACAGGGGACTTGGAATTGCAGCTTCACCAACACCCCCTGAGGTGATGGAGCACAGAGGTACTGGCTCTCTGCTCTCTGCCTGGCAGGGAGGATGGCCGGATAGGGAGGAGGGAGGAGGAGAAGAAAAACCACCAACACAAATAACACCTCACTCCATTATCCTGCCAGCCTTGTCATTCTTTAACTCTTGCTGTCAATTATATCTAGATTTAAGAGTGCAAAACAAAGGCTTATGCTGTAATTTTAATGGACTTGTTTTTAAGGGAAAAATGAATCCCAGAATCCTAGAAATGATTACTTCTAAGACTCACAGGGACTTAATGTGCTCCTAGTTTAAAGTTTAAAAAAGATTTGTTTTTAGCATCAATGGAACATGTCTCCTGCCCTTCTTCTCTTCAATACACCTGGAGAATCCCACTGTGTAAAACAGAAATGAAGTTGCTTTAGTTGTCAGGTGGGGAGTACAGAACCCCAACTAGATGGTTTCTTCTCCCATACCCACAGCAGCCCTGCAGTGAGGAAAACAGACCACAGGATCAGTGGAGCAAGGGGTGAAGAACCAACCTCAGCCTACCGTCCACCCAACAATGGAAGTCACCTCCTGGTTCCATTACTCCCACCTCTGAACACTCGCTTAGAGAGAAAATTCTCACAGGCAGCCAGACCCAATGCCCAGTTGTATCTAAGACTGGAATACACTTCCCAAGTAATACCCCAGTTTACTTCTCTGTCACTCTCACCCAGAAACTCCAGTTCTGTTTGGGGGGCTGCAAGCAACAGGTCTAGTCCCTCTCTCATATGATTTACAAAGCAAATCTCTCCTGGAGTCTCCTAACCAGATGAAACAGGTGCTTAAACCTATGATAAATGGGTAAATGGATGAAGAAATAACCAAATGAGAGAGTGGATTGGAGATTGGAAAAGGAAGAAAGAGAAAGAACAGCTGAATGAAATACCCTCCCCACTCTCTTTTGGATATCCTGTCACTTGAAAACAGTCCTCTTAAAATGTGACGTGTGTAAGAAAAGTATAGCTTTTGGATCTGAACACAGTACTCCAGAAAGACCTTAACCTAGTGTTTTTCAAATCCGTGTAACTAGTAAAAATCAATTTAATGGCTCTCAATCATCATCAGTTTAACGGAAGAACAGAATAGAAAAGAAAATACCATAAATCATCAACTATTTCCTGCATCTCTTGTGTCTCCTGCACTGGCCGTCAGATTCTTTAACTACTGTGCCACCTGAGAAGCCCCAAATCCATGAATAAGGCATCACAATTACTCCCATTTTCAGATGAAAAAAATGAGACACAGATCAATTACTAACTTGCCTAAGGTCACCCAACCAGTAAATGGCAGAGCTGAGACTGAAACAGGATGGGAGGGTGAAGGCAAGAGGCAGTCTGATCCCAGAGCATGAACTTAGAACCTCTCCACTCCATGGATTCCAGAATAGAGACAAGCGAGCCATGCAGTCAGGGGGAGGATAGTGCAGGACCAATCCTGGGACCAGGGACACCTGCAAGGATTTTCCTCTCACACTAGACTCACATCCTCTTGCTATGCTTGGGGCACATATAGACGCCAGTGAACTCTAGTGGAAGGACCATACTGCTGATACTCTGGGTCGTAAGAGGCAGTGTCCTACCTCACAGAATCAACCTGTTCCTTCTACCCTGGGCAGAGGGCTTCAACCAGCCATGTGAAGTCTGAGTTACCCTAAGATTTGGTCCATATTTCTCCACTGACTGGCAAAGATATGTGTGGAAGGCATTTCAAAAGCCTCAGCAGCAGCAAAATTGACCTCAGTGCTACTGGTGCCTGACAACAAAATCGGTTCCTCCATAATCCATGTCACGTACTCTGAGGGATTCTTGATGCTTTAGCCTCATGGACACGCTAAGACTTTCTAGATCCTAAGTGCTTTATCAGACAAACACTATCACTGTCTCTCAAATGTATGTTACAAACACTTAGCATCTCAGAACGTCTCAACTTTTTCACTCACGTGTCCCAAGTCTCCCCCTCCATTGTCAACCACAAGACAAATGTTAGCAGCACTTGAATCTACTCTACTATAAAGACAAGCCTATAATTTTGATGTATAAGGAACTGGGGTGTGGTAGTTTCCAGACCCTGGTTGATGAACTTTTTTTCTCTTCCTCAATGCAGTTCTTGTAACAGCAAAGTCTTATTTTAAGGTTCTGTGTCTGTGGTGCTTTTCCCACAGTGTGCTCGGATAGTCCTTCCTAGAGGGGAAATCTGGAGAGTTAGGTATGCCTTGACCTACATGAACCCATCTTGGCTTCCAATAATCCCTTCTTAGAAAAGGAACTTCTGGAATTTTGCCTAGGATTATCATAAGCTCAATGTACCATATTTTTCCCATGCTCAAATTGAGGCAGCATTTTTTTTTTAATTCCTTCCTGGAAACTCTCACCTCCCCAGAAGGGCCCCTGGAATGACCCATCTCTGCCCAGAGGGGCCTGGAACAAAGCAAAGGAAGCTGGGGGGTAGCTAAATCTTGAGCTTACTGGTAGCCGGGATTGTTCTGCTTCTCTGGTTTGAAGAGTGTTTTTCTTCATAGAGAAGGCAGGGTCCACCGGGTTATGTTCTGTTCTATAACATGCTGTTCTGTTCTATAAAGATTAAGCCTCTGCCTTATTTATTTTTTTTCCTCTCTCTTGTTCTCAACAGGGTTCAGAAAGTCTCTTCCATCTTCTTTAGGTATCAGTAGTTCAGGGAGATGGGCCTCAGATATACCTAGGAAGTGTTTATCCTTTCCATGGTCTAAGCCCCAAATCTGGGGCTGGCTCCGAGGAGCCGGAGCAAGGGAGGATTGGGAGCCAGACAGGCACCTGGCTGTGGCACGATCTGTTGGGGCAAGGGCCCATCAGTCATGACCAGGGGGAGATACAGAGCTGCATCAAGGGAAGAGCATGAGGGGTATCCCTGGTGGGCCAGAGGTTAAGAATCTGCCTTGCAATGCAGGGAATGCTGATTCGATCCCTGGTCCGGGAACTTAGATCCCACATGCCTCAGGGCAGCTAAGCCCACGTGCCATGACTAGAGAGCCTGCATGACACAACGAAGATCCTGCATGTTGCAACTAAGACCCGAAGCAGCCAAATAAATAAGTATTAAAAAAAAAAAAAAAAAAACAGGAAAGTCCATGAGTTTCGGAGCCACACAGGCACAGATGAATAATTCTGGTAACAACTTCTCCGCTCTCAGAATTGCTAGGAGGGTTAAATGAGATCTTGTTTGTTAACCCTATACATAGTAAGGATATAACAAATTGCAGTTGATCTCTTTTTAATTATTTTTGCTGTGATCTAAAGAGCCCTGATTATCCCAAACTCTCCAGCAAGCCTTCCGGGCCTACTGTGACTTCCCTGACCCCAAGAGCTCCTCCATCTGCCTCCTCCAGCACATAAACACAACAAGCCAGAGCAGGCTGGGCTTACTATGGCCCTGGCTCCCCAGTTCCCTAGCGATGAATCATGCTTCTCAGATCTCTGTCCTTACAGATTTGGGCAGGGACCTCACCCAGCCATACTTGCATTAGAGGAGGAGCACTGGGCTTGGGGGACAATGGACTAGGGGCCCATCCCAACTCTCCACTGAACCTCATTGTGCTCAAAATAAGAGACCCCGCTTCACTGGGTTGCTATGAAAGTTATTAACGGTTATCGTTACCATCTTTTTGAATTCCATATATGCAAAATAGGAAAAGAGACACAGATGTATAGAACAGACTTTTGGACTCTGTGGGAGAAGGCGAGGGTGGGATGTTCTGAGAGAATAGCACTGAAACAAGTATACTATCAAGGGTGAAACAGATCACCAGCCCAGGTTGGATGCATGAGACAAGTGCTCAGGGCTGGTGCACTGGGAAGACCCAGAGGGATGGGGTGGAGAGGGAGGCGGGAGGGGGGATTGGGATGGGGAACACATATAAATCCATGGCTCATTCATGTCAATGTATGGCAAAAACCACTAAAATATTGTAAAGTAATTAGCCTCCAACCAATAAAAATAGTTGGAAAAAAAAAAGAAAGTTATTAAGGGAAAGTACCCAGCTCAGGATCTGATACAAAGTGGGAACTCAAGAAAGCTGGCTCAATTTCAACCTTGATATCTGAGTGCCTGGCCTCCTTCTGATAATTATAGGAGGCAGGTATTCTGAGTTGTGGGATGGGGAGGGGGTATGTGTGTATGGAGATGAGGGGGCAGAGAGAGGGTGAGTGGTCTTGGAAATAGAGACTTTTCCTCAATAGCTCACTGGCAGTTCCTGGCAGAGAATCTGCCCCGAAGGGACTCTGGCTGGGCCTGTGATGTGGATGAGAAAGAGAGTGGAATTGAGAGATGATAAAGATGAGGCCTTTTTAGGAAGCCCAGAGACCAAAGCTCCATGACCTGTCACTGAAGAAGATGGGATTGGAGCCCAAGTATGTCTGACTAAAGTCCATGCTCTTTTAACTTCCAGAGGCTGTTCAGATGGAAGGAGTGACCTTCCCAAGGGGACCAAGGACAACTCTCTTACTGTCCAGATACATCAATGGACACCGAAAACCCAGGTTGGCTGGTGTGATCCCAGACCCTACAAATTACTCAGGCTGCTGTCAGATTGTGATGCAAATAATGCTGACATGATGGGGAGCTCCCAAGCAAAGACTTCCCATTAAAAAAAGTCTCACATTGGGTAGAAATGGCCAGATCCTAGAACCCATGTGCTTCTCATTGGCTTAGATCTGCCCAGAGAGCACAGCCTCAGCCTGAAGTCTCTACAGCTGGAAGCTGTCACCTCTTGCTCCCCTCACAGTTCAAGGGCATGTTCGTCACTGCAGGGAGGTCTGCGTAGGGCTCACACAGTCCAGGTTTTCCCTGCAGGGATACACTTCTCCAAGCTTTCCAGGGACTGCTCCTCCTGAAGTGGAGAGACTTGGGGAAGGAAGGTTAGTGGAACAAACTTCAGCTCCCATCATTGGAGCTGGTCTTAGAGTTTCAACTGGTGCTCATCATATCCCTCCTACAATGCCCATTTTGAATTCCCCTTCCCCTCCCCTTAAGCTATCACCTTGAGTGACCCAAGCCCTCCACCTTCATCCCAGGGCCTGTATTGTGATTCTTCCGTGGCTCGTCACAAACTTCACACCACCTCTTTTTCTACACTGGCACCTCCAGCAGCAGATCTGCTGGATTACATGGCCCAAGGGGCTGAGCTGCTTGCCCTGCAGCCTTGCTGCAGCGCCCTCTCTAGTTCTGGGCCCCACTCAAAGCTGGGAGCCCTTCATGTCACTCCGTATATGGACTGGAGCAGGATCTCTAGGTATGGAATGTGTGCCTTCAGAACCCAAAATGGTCTAACTGGCACTGTGCTTCCTTCTTTATAGTAAAAAGCAAAAGGCAGCCATTCATAAATGTTTGCAAGGCTTGTCTCCCACTCTCTAGAACAAAAGCCTCCAGTATACGAACCACCTCTTACTCATCCTCCTGATTAGTGTGATGTCAACAATCTCACAGGTCAGTGTGATGATCTGCAGGATGCCCCAGTGGTCTACAGCTCTTTGGACTATACTGTGACAAGGAGAAAGAGGATTAACATGGCCCTGAGATAAAACTATGAATGCATATTGTTGTCTATCCCATGTGAATGTGGACTGTTTCTGATCTTCTCTTCTGATTGGAATCGAAAATAACACATTGATCAAGTCAACAGCAGCACACCATGAACCTGAAGCCATGTTAATCTGCTGGAGCAAAGAGTTGAGCGTGGAAGCTGCACTTGGTGCTACTGTTTGGTAGAACTTCCAGTTGTCTACAGTCACACTCTAGGATCCATCTGGTTTCTGCCAGGACCAGACTGATAAACTAAACAGAGAAATTATAGGGACCACCACTACTATATCTTGAGATACCTAAGTGATAGCATTAATATCTGCCACCTCCCCTAGGATACAATATTGATTTTGATTTACTCGCTTGGTGGGGAGTTGGGTATGGAGAGGAAGGAGGACAAATTCAGAGCCCTCCACTTGGCCTTCTCCACTGTGATAGCTCTTACCCCACAGGTCAAAGGCCACATGTAAGAATTACACTATATACCAAGTATGTCAAGCCTGGTTAAACATTCAGAGATCAGAGAAATGAGTGGTCAGTGGTCTCACATCCCAATGGGTCTACTATAAGCTGGACCCTGATGAGGACTCCATTATTACTTGAACTTCAGAGTAGGTCCATAATGACACTTCCTGTTTCTGGGTGTCAGTGTCAACTCAGACTCTGGGTCCAATAGTCCTAGAAGTGTCTGGTATTCTCGTTTCAACAGTAAATTGATTCTGAGTAAATGGCCGTCAGGCCCTTTAGGGAAGGACTGGTGAAATCCTTAGAGGATGTGCTTGCCATTCAGTCTTCATTTGGATCATAAATTCTTGCTGCTCTCCCTCTGTAGGAAATAAAGACTTATTTGTAAACCACCCAAAAGCCCCTTCATGCTTCATTTTTGTTTTTTAAGTTTTTTAAGCCATCAACTTTTCATGATTTCTCTGAAGGGTCAAGATAACTTAATACAACCAATTAATTCCTCCTGAGGCACAGTCACCTCTTTAGTCAATAGGTTCTCCCTTCTACTAACACAAAAATCTAAAATCTGGATCAGGCCCAAAACTGGTCAAAGGATTGTGACATTTTATTGGAGCAACCTTAGACCTACTGCTTAAACACTTGCATTCCTTTGATGATACTCTCACTGATTACTCATCTATTTTGCCTGTCGGGTAACTTATTCCATTAACTGTCTCCACAGCTTTCTGCAAGTCAAGCTATGTTGGCTACCACCCTAGGTATGCTAGTTTAACAATAATTGGATTTTGTAGGAGACATCACCCCCATTGCTACCAAAAGGCCGAGCTCTAGGACTGTGTCTTTCTACCATCATCTTCTACCATCAACTCCTCTTGCAAAGGAGAGAGCCGCCATTGAGCTTAGTGACACTGGTGTCCTCTCACCAACATACTCCCAGTGAACTTGAAGAACCATGTCTCCTCTTGGAATGCCTGTGGACTCTCATCCTCTGATGGGTCTTCTGACATCACATAATATATTCAGTCTAGCACATCTGCTTCCCTGAGACTTTAAATCCCTTTCTCCCCCATTTGCCATGACAACTCAGGCATTTCAATTCTGTTTGACATACACCAACGTTTTCACCAAGTTTCCAGGAGTTTCTCAAGCAGCAAACTTGCACTCTCCCCTCAGATCCCTGCCAGAGAGTTAAATCCCGTACCTCAAGTAAATACACTTACTTTCCCAGTCATCTAGCCTGGATCCCTTGATCCGGCACCCTTAAAATACAGTCTATTGTATACTTCCTATAGTTCTTCTGAAGTATAGTCCCTTTCCTCCTATATAAGACTCTGGCTGGGTCATGATGTAACTTAGTTCTGATTATCAGCCTGGCAACCAGGAAAGGAGATGGAGGAAGAGTCTGGAGAAGACCTCCATTGCAGGGTTGGGGGAGAAGCCTGCGCTGTGTCTTCCTGTATGCGAGGAGTGCTCCCTCTTATTTGAGAGGAGCGGGCCAAGTCTGCATGCTCTGACAGTGCAGAGTCTAGGGACCCAAGTGTCCCCAACCCAGGTGTCAGGCCCCAGGTTTTCCCAGCTAGGGCCCTGACCTTAGAATAGAGACTTGCCTCAGCTAAGCATTCTTCATCTTTGAAGCTCCATACTTTTCAGTCCTCATTTGGATCATAAATTCTTGCTGCTCTCCCTCTGCAGGAAATAAAGGCTTATTTGTAAACCACCCAAAAGCCCCTTCATGCTTCATTTTTGGTTTTTAAGTGCCCTCAACTTTTCATGATTTCTCTGAAGGTTCAAGATAACTTGTATAAGTTAATACAACCAATTAATTCCATTGTCTTTGTATGTATTGTCCCGGTGATTTTCAAACCCCTGCATCATTGCATGTTCAGGCTGTCCCCTCTGCTGGAACATTCTTCCAAGTCATTACCAATGAAAGCTTTAGCAACTGAGCTGCCATCTTATACCAGGGACTATTGTGCCTCACATACCCCTGGGGAGGGGCAGCACCCTCAGCAGCAAGGGATCCAGTAAATAAATCCATCCTACCTCCTGTGCCAGTTTTGGTCCTCAGCACACACACACATCATGATGTAGTAAGGAGTAAGAATGCTTACTCGGAGACAATGCCTGTGAAAGATGAAAGGAAAAGAATTGGATTAGGCCTTCTGATGGCGCTGCAGATCTGATAAGGCCTCTTCCCACTGGTTGAGAGCTGCCCAGGGAAAATGCTTCTACCCAAAAGTGCTACAGTAAGGGGGGATCCACTAACTGTACTCCTGCTAGCTTGTCATGGGTTGAACTATGTCTCCCAATCCCTCAACAGAGATGTGCTGAAGTCCAAACTCCTTGAATGTGACTTGATTTGGAAATAGTGTTGCAGATGTAATTAAGAGGTCATGTGAGAGTAGGATGGGTCCCCAACCGACTATGATTAGTGTCCTTATAAGAAGAAGGCCATATGAAGACAGAGGCACACAAGGAAAGCACCACATGAAGACAGAGCTTGGAATAATGCAACCATAAGCCAAGGAGCGCCTGAAGCTACCAGAAGGTAGGAGAGAGTACATCCTTCCCTGGTGCCTTCAGAGGAATATGGCTCTGGTGATCCCTTCATTTCAGACGTCTAGCCTCCAGAATGGCAAAAAAAATAAATTACTGTTATTTAAGCCACCCAGTCTGTGGAACTTCATTATGGCAGCCTTAGGAAATTCATACATAGCTGACTAGCAGGTTATCTTTTGAAGGGAAAGCTGAAAGACTTCCCTGGTGGTCCAGTGGTTAAGAATCTGCCTCCCGAAGCAGGAGACCAAGATTTGACCCCTAGGTGGGGAACTAAGATCCCACATGCCATGGAGCAAGTTCACATATGCCCCAACTACTGAACCTGCACACTCTAGAGCTAGCACACCACAACTAGATAGAAGCCCGCCTGCTGGGGTGAAGGCCTATCGCAGTCAAATAAATAAACAAAAATAAAAAGAGAGCTGAGTGGTGCATCTTCATGGTTAACAAATCTTAAACTGGCTCCAGAGCCCACATTCTTTACCTTCCCAGGGGGCCTGTGAACTGGGGAAAGTGAAGGTCAAGGCCCCAGGCTTTTGTTTGAAAGTCCTCCCACCACCACTTCCCCCCCACAGTGGTCCTCTGCTGTGCAGACTCAAAGACTGGGTGATGGAAACTTAGGGCAGCCACCCTGGACAAGGGAGCCCAGGCTCTAAGAGGCCTGAGCCCCATCAAGGCCACAGCTGCTCACCTGGCCCCATCCCTCAGGAGACAGGAAGGAGCTTGTTCAGCCACCTCTCACCTTGGGGTGTCTGTCTCCTGTGAGTGAGTGAAGCGTGAGTGAAAGTCGCTCAGTCGTGTCCAACTCTTTGCGACCCCATGGACTGTAGCCCACCAGGCTCTCCTCTGTCCGTGGGATTCTCCAGGCAAGAATACTGGCGTGGGTTGCCATTCCCTTCTTGTCTCCTGTGAGGTTGGCCCCCAATTCCTCTGAAGTTGGAGACAGGCACTGAGGAGAGGGGAAAGGGGTGCAGAGAGGGCCCCATTCCAGAGCCAGCACTCCTGCAGAAGAGCTTTCTATGGTCCTTTAGCCAACATACATGTATATTTCTTTTTTTTTTTTACATGTATATTTCTGAGGAGGTTTTTCAAAGTTATCTTTGATCAACCCCCCAAAGATGGGAACCCCTGGCTTATTGCATATCATCCTCTCAACCACATCTCTTCTGAACTCTATACTTGGCCCACTGAAATCCCACCCCCACTACCCCAGCTCCAGAGACCTGCTGTTTGGTGACACCTTGGGGTCAGGTTCCATTTTTCTCCAAAGAAGAGCTTGGCCACAGGGTTTTCCTGGTGCCTTTGGAGGTCTCCACAGACAAAACTCTACTTGAGGTCTCAAGGGTCTGGAAATGCCAAGCGACCAAAATGGGCAGCTTCTGCAATGACATGACTTGAGTCGCCTTTGGGGATAGTTTTAAGAAGTGGGGAAGGAAGCCCTCATGGCCTGAGTTCCCACTCTGTGCCGGTGCTTTGCCTTCTGCAGCCTCATGTTATTGGCCCCACTGTGTAAGTTGGAACTGATGGGTTCAGAGAGAAGGGAATGGACCAACACCACCAAATGACAGAGCTGTGAAGTCGGACCTGACCCAGATCTCCTGCTTCCTAACCTGACAGCTTGCTGCCCTCTCTGGAATCATCCATAAGGAGAGAAGGGTAGAGCTCTGCAATCATAGTTCTTCCCTGGTGGCTCAGACTAAAGGATCTGCCTGCAATGCGGAGACCCAGGTTTGATCCCTGGGTTGGGAAGATCCCCTGGAGAAGGAAATGGCTACCTACTCCAGTATTCTTACCTAGAGAAGTCCATGAACAGAGGAGCCTGGTGGGCTGCAGTCCATGGGGTCGCAAAGAGTTGGACACAGCTGAGCAACTAACACTTTTACCTTCTTTCTGCAATGATTCATCTCCCAATCTGATGCAAATACAGTCGAGTTTTTCATAAAGATCTTTGGATGCATGGGCCAAACTTATTTTTCTGGTGTCAGAGAAAGCTATTAGAAAGACTTTGACATGGGCATAAAAGATGACTGGGAATCCTATCCAGAGTCCTCTTCCAGGTTATTGTCACATTTTACTATCCTTGAGATAGTCTACAACTCTCTAAGTAGTAGAGAATTGATCATGCAAATTATTCTTTTCCATGCACATGCAAAGGAATTGCATCCAGTGGAATGACTACCCCATTGATAAACCAATTTTGTAAGCATTTTTAAATATATTAGCATTCTTATAACCTATA